CTGCACGGCTGTGCAGAACCCAGCAACACCCCGAGCTGAGGATTCCTTAGAGAATAGGCAGCAATATTTGGCCACAGTCAATTTCTTAAGACATTTTGCTTCTTGGAGAGGCCCAGCACAGTGTATACTCAGGGCACTTGGGGAACAAGAAACAGATGAGCGAGAACGCAGCTCTCAGAAAGTAATGTCCTACAGTCTTTGTTTAATAGATTTAAGTTCCATGTCAAAACCCAGATGAGATAAGAGGGATGAAGAAGAGTTGATATAAGAAGCTTTTTGAGAGTTAAGCTTGAACTAGTTGCTAGTGTAATTGTCCTGGGCGAGATGATGATTCAGACCTGAGCCCAGTCTGAAAACACTGATTTTAAGTCAATTTTATGGGCCCACCACCAAGCTCTTGTTGACAGGGGGGATTTCCCCAGATTCTACAGCAAGACACAGGATGGCACAAATCTGGGGAACTGGAAGAGGGCCCTCAAGAACTGTGAGGTGAAACTTCAGGAGAAAATGCTGCTAGAACATGGCCATATAGCCTGGAAATCATACAACACCCAAACGTCCTTTGAGGACATTTAATAGAATACCAAGTTTGCAAACTTTGTGTCTTGTTTGTTTGTTTGTTTGTTTGTTTTTAAAGCAATACAACTGTTTTGGTTCGCTCCTGACATGATAAAGAAATACACAACACCCAGGAGATTCCAAGTGTGAAAACCTTTGACAATACATATTTGAGAAATGCAGTATTGTGAAGTTCTACTGTGGTGGAAAGATGTATTTCCTACACAAAGATGCATTGCATTTCTTCAAAATTCAAAACTGGTGTGTAATTGTTTGTCATGAGGAAATCCCAGTGATAATAACTTTAATGTCAGAGATTTGCAAATAAATATTAGATATCAAAATAGAGCAATACCAGCAACTGCCAAATGGCTATGACACTTCCTCCCACTCCTCTTTTGTGACTGGCATGTTACTACACCATCATTTTGTAGCCTAAGGGCCTCAGTAATTCCTAGCCTTCTCAACTGAGTCATGAAGTTTTACAATCCTAGGCAGATGGATGGATTGGCAAGCCATTACCCTTTCACCTTATTTTCCATCTTCATCGCTATGATACTTCATCTTGTTGATGGGAAGCTTCCCACCGGAATGGAAATCATCTGTCAGACAGATGGCAAGCTATTTAACCTCAGCAGACTGAAAGCCAAAACCAAGGTTACAA